AGAGAACTGACAGAATACCCATGGAAAATGTGACTAGATTGGATACAGAGGCTTGCATATACTCTTTGTTAGGTTTAAGAGGTTGAAGGGGTTGGTGTTCAGCTGAACTCTCACCAAAGGCCTGTTGGTTATCTGTGGACAGAGGAGATCTGAAGATGCTCCAGTGGTGAGGTCTGGGGGCTGCACTCCTTTTTTTTGGTCTGTGTTTTGGGTGTGCATATTGTGCTTGGTGCAGAATCCGTATCAGCGAGGGTCAGGCAGTGTTAGAAGTTTGCCACAAAATTATAGAAAAGTAATCAGCTTTTAGAAGTTTTGGGTAGCTGTTTGGGCTTCCTCCTTGGCAACACCAAGCCATTGGATTCCAACATGAACATGGAACCAACCCTGGGTGATGTTCTAAGAAGGTGAAGGGTGCAGAGAGAATTCTCAAGAATTCAGAAGCTGCAACAGGAACCCCTGAGAATTCTCTCTGCTTGTTTGTCAGTGCTCACCTTGGCTTCCAGGGTCAGTTTTAAAATCCAGCAGCGGGTCTGTATTCCCATAGAGAGCGGAAGTTGAAACAGCTGTCTAAATCTTGGTAAGCTTCCCTCTGTTTTTACAGGTGCTTTTAAAGCTAGATCATAGATGCACGTTCTGCTGTGTAAATGGAGATGACTGTTGTGCTTCTGCCCATGAGAAATATTTTTTCATAATAAAAAGTACCTGCATCAGTTCTGTAACTATTTTCCCCCTTTTTCTGGCCTTGAGGTCTTGCGAAATGTACTGGGATGAGGTTAATGCCTGCAATCTCCATGCATCAATGTGGTGATGGTTTATGGCGGCAGAGAGGACAATGTGTCCATGGCTCGTAGTTCTAATACAGTAGTTCTCTCTTTTTTCCCTCCAGGCCACACTTTCAGAATAAAAATCTGCTCACATCACACCATTTTTTTTAATTGATAAGAAATACATTGGGGGAAAACAAACAAGCCTCCTCACCGTGCTTGATTTATAAAATGGAACACAACTACTTTATATTATGATCACAGGACATCCAGAAAGTATAAAACAATGCAGCTACATAGGAATGTGAATCATTCCCAAAATAGAATTATAAACTAGCCTCTTACATATGTACTGATATAAGTAAAAAAACTGCCCTTTTCCCTTTTGGGGTATCCAAGAGCCCATGTAGATTCCTTTTGTAGGTTCTCTATTGGTAGGCGAAAATAACAGAGACCAATCAGAGAATATTGAGAAGCAAAGCAGCTAGTAAGCTTTATTAACTGTTGCAACAGGGTGCTCACCCCCTCCCTCGCCACGCAGGAGGGAGGAGGAACCCAGAACAATGGGGTGCAAGTCCTTATATAGACTTTTGAAATTGCCACCCTGTAGCTCAAGACCACCCCCCAATACATCATACATACATCACAGAAGGGATGTAGCCCAAGACCACCCCACAGATAACATCATACCTATATCACAGAAAAGGTGGTCTACAACAGAAATCTGAGTGCCTTGTTTTTACCCTGTCTGCCAGGTTACCTGTTAATGGTCACTTGACTGGATTACCTGGGGAGCCTGGTCATTCTTTTGTAATGATAATACTTAATTCCTGAGCCAGGTCACAAGCTCACCCTATTCACACCTTAAATGTGCCCTTAAGGCAGGATTTGTGAGGACAGAGACAATGGGGAAGTTTCTGCATTTCCTTCCACCTTGTGGATAAATATTTGAGGTAACTGAAAGAGTCAAAATGGCCTTAGGACTTTTCCTGTGGGTTTTGGATGTGGTTTATATATTTATATATGTGTTTGCTTGGTATATTTATGAACATTTATTTTATATATATAAGACCTAAAAATTCTTATAACAGTACCTTACGTATGTATACAAGGTCAATGAGAGGCGTGAGCTTGCTTTGGCCGGGTAATCTCATTTATATGGTGAGATTGTCCTCAGTATCTAATTTTGAAAAGGTATCTATCCATATTCAGCAAACAAAAAAAATGGACTTGTTACTATAGTATACACTATAGCAGTGTTCTCCAGCTGTTTTTGGACTACAACTCCCATAATCCCTAGCTAGCAAGACCAGTGGTCAGGGATGATGGGAACTGTAGTCCAAAAACAGCTGGAGGCCCAAGGTTGGGGAACACTGCACTATAGTATACTGTATAATACGACAGTGAAATGTTCAAATGCTCAGTTGCCCTTGAATCTTCCCACCACCCTTGCCATCCGCTCCTGCCACACCAGTGTGGTGTGCCACAACCTTCCCCGCCCTTCCCGGTTCAAAAACCGAGTTCAGGGCAGCTAACAACAAAATTAAAACACTTAATTATAAAAGCAGCATAAAATACAGTATAAAAACATGAATAACAATAAAATTCAAAAATCAATTTAGGGGAAATAAGCATTAGATAATCCCCAGGGCTAGCTGGCTGAATTGGTCCAACTTGGGCCAGTGAGGAGGCTAGGGGAGAATTAGCTGTGGGGTCTCAGAGCGGGTGATCTTCATAAAAGGGGAGGGGAAAAGAAGGGAAATAAAAGATCAGGCTGAATTCAAATTAAAGGCCAGGCGGAATAGCTCTGTCTTACAGGCCTGACAGAAGGAGGTTCAATCCTGAAGGGCCCTAGTCTCATGGGACAGAGCATTCCACCAGGTAGGAGCCATCACTGAAAAGGCCCTGGCCCTGGTGTGGGATAGTCTGACTTTCATAGGGCCCAGGACCTCTAAACTATGGTTATTCATGGACCTTAAGGTCCTTAAGGCATACCAGGAGGGGCGGTCCCGTAGATATGAGGGCCTTAAGCCACAAAGGGCTTTAAAGGTCAAGACCAGCACCTTGAACCTGACCCTATACTCCACCGGGAGCCAGTCCAACTGGTAAAGCACTGGGTGAATATGCTCCCATGGCAGGGACCCCGTGAAGAGCCTCGCTGCAGCATTCTGCACCCGCTGGAGTTTGTGGGACAGTTTCAAGTATCTTCTGTGACCCGAATAATGTTACAGTGGACCCTCCGGATATGAACTTAATTCGTTCCGGGGGTCTGTCTGCAATCCGAAAAGTCCGCAACAAGAGGTGCAGCTTCTGCGCATGTGCACTTCTGGGTTTGCTGCATTCACAACCCGAAAGTTACGTTACCTGAAGGTAGCGTAACCCAAGGTAGCCCTGTACAGTGGTGCCTCGCAAGATGAAATTAATCCGTTCCGCGAGTCTCTTCGTCTTGCGGTTTTTTCGTCTTGCGAAGCATGGCTCTTAGCGGCTATTAACGGCTTAGCGGCTTTAAGAAAAAGGAAACAAACTCGCAAGAACTCGCAAGACGTTTCGTCTTGCGAAGCAAGCCCATAGGGAAATTCGTCTTGCGGAACGACTCAAAAAACGGAAAACCCTTTTGTCTAGCGAGTTTTTCGTCTTGCGAGGCATTCGTCTTGCGGGGCACCACTGTACTTCAGAATGAAAGAAGAGCCCTGCAGGATCAGACCAAAGGCCCATCTATTCTGGCATCCTGTTTCCCACCAGATTGTCTATTAATGGGAAGACCACAGGCAGGACATGAAGACAATAGCCCTCTCCTCTTGTTATTCCCCAGAGGCTGGTATTCAGAGACATGCAGTCTGTGATCCTGGAGGTAGCTTTTAACTCTCCTGACTAGTAGCCTTTGACAGCCTTGTTTTCTTATGGCCCAGTCTTGGGGCCCAGTCATACATTACAGTTCCACAATGGGACTTCAGTTGCACTGGAATATCGCACCCTGGTTTTCCACCTTCACGAGAGCAAACGTTTGAATGGCTCTCACTTTGGCCTCATGCTGTGTGGCAGTAAATAAGCTGAACTGGCACCCAGCTGGTTTGCTTGTTGGGAGCTCAAAAATAAACAACCTTTGCTTGGGGCAGTGGAGGGTAAAACGCATACTTGTGTGGCGGAAATTGGGATGAAATCTATAGCTGCTTTTGCTAGAGGGGAAGCAAAACTGATCAGACCGAGCACACTGTGTAAACGAGTTCAGAAATTCATTACGAAGATAACAGTTGCCTCTCGCTCACTCATGACTTCCTTCCTGTTTCATCACCTTCTCAGCTTCATCTTCTCTGTAGAAATGCTCCTGTTTAGGCTGTTGACGGTTCGGCATATCTGTTCCAGAGAGCGCTCTTTTGTGTGTTGCGGTTTTAATATCACTACAGATGGGTGATTTATTTTTTCCCTACCCTCTCTAGACTGAGAAGTGGGGCAGGGCAGTTAGCACAATTCCATCTTTGTGCCTCAGCGTATCATATATGTGTAGGGGGGAAACTGGGCTCAGATTATGCTAATTCCCTCCTCTTTGGGGATCTTTCTGTTCATGCTTACAGCCTCTGCTATGTTGTCAGCTGACATACAGAGCCCTCATTCCACAAGGATTTTGAGTTTGTTTGGTGGTGGTAGTTTTTAAAGCCACAGTTTCCCCCGCATAATCTCATTACGTGGTAATTTTGGCTCTCATTTTTCCACTCCCCAGGTAGGGGACTCATTTTGAAAAGAGGGAGACTGCTAACATCAACACTGTTCAGGAATGAAGATGCTATAGCCCCTCTGATAATTTTCATAGTTTTCTCTCTTTTTTGGCACCTATTTTTGGGGGAGACTCAATGCAAAACATATGCCACATTCAGCCGTACCATAGATTTATATCAACTGTCTACCTCAGCTTGTCTTCCCCAGATAGCCTCAGCCAATTCAGACCTCGTTATGTGGTTAGGGTACCCTGGGCAACATCCCAGACTCTACGCTTGCCTTGAGGCTTTCCACACCTGAAAAACAGCAGCAGTTGTAAAACTCTCACCCGAAGCGAAATTTCAACACACCTGTGTGGCAGATGTCCTGTACCTGGTGTTTCATGATGTTGTCCCTCACTCCATCCCATTGGGGAAAAAATGTGATGTACATATTGCCTCATAATGATTGTTTCTAGGTGGGGGTGCGTGACCAAACAATGCTTTCCAGCATATAATAAGCATGTTACTTTTTCTTCCCTAGCTTGCTGGAGTTGCCTTTCTTGGGGCTGGTCTTTGGGCCTGGAGCGAAAAGGTAAGAAAAATGACTCTTTGCTATAGAGAATTGAGCTGCTTCTCATTGAGGAGGTGCAAGGGGTCTCACACAGCACATACACTCATCCTTTACACGTTGGCCTTTCTGTTGAAGGACAGAAATCCCGACTAGCACTGCTTTTCTGCCTCCAGGCTTATTTTCATGAGTGTTCTGCAAAATCAGCTACTTATCTAGGGGTTGCAAAGAGCCTTGCAGCAGAATCCTGCATATATCTATTCAGAAAGTCCACAGGGTTCCCTGGGGCAAGAAGCCTTAGGTTGGAATCCTCTATACAATTCCTGGAAGCAAGTTCCTGGGGCTTTTAAGTGGGGAAGCCATGCCATCTCATCACTTCCACACTCAACCTGGGCTGCTGATTTTGGTGGAGGTAATATCTATATCCTGCCTCCCTCTTGGGTGACTTTGGCCATATGGCTGTTACTGGGGCAGATCACCCGTGTTGCTTTGAATCAAAGCTTGGGAGGGTAGATACCTAGCTTCCTAAATTTATTGTTAGCTGGCATGTCTTGCCTAATTCTGCACCGGTTTCTCTTCTACCCCACCCCACCCTTATGCTCCCCCCACATTCCTCTTCCTCAGCCAATGCTTTAGTCTATATGAAAATTTAGTTTCAGCAAGGGAAAAACCACAAGTTTTGTGTTTGAATGAAAAAGCAGAGATTCCTGCTCCCCCTCCTCACTCCTGCTGCCTCTGTGGGGCTTGGTTTGAAGATGTTAGAGTGCAGCCCTTTTGCCCAACATCCTTTATGAATTCCTTGTGCTAAGGTAATCCCTTTTTAAATGGGGCCCTCTTTTACATGATTGTAGGTTCTGAATTTGCTAGACATGCTGGCTGTTCTGCAGTTAACCATAGGGTGATGATGAGATTTGCAGGTCAGGGCAGGGAAAAAGGAGGCAAGGGGATATTTGGCGCATTTACATTTAACTTCTAAATGATAGGCTATTTCTGAAGCTTCACGCAAAATGGGCAGAGTTCCAGAAAAAAAATAGTTGCTATGGTACCCTTTCTCCTCCAAGGACTGACTTAACACACACACACAAGTTCTGTAGGAGGGAAGCATCATATGGCTATTACTCACACCAAAAATCAGCAGCCCAGATTTGGCCATTTTAATTGGGCAGGCTGTTGATCTTCAGGGCCCTGGAACCTGAAATTGTTTTCTGCTTAGTAATGACAATGTTTTATCGCATTTAATGAGAGTGTTAATGTTTGGGGTTTTGGGTTTTCTGGTTTTGCTATTTGTATTCAGCTGCTAAGTTTTATTAGTCAGCCTGCTTTATGCTACCCCTCACCCACAAACTGCTCCCAGGTAAATAGTCTCATAGAGAAAATACTGCTGCTCTTGGGATACTTTGCTGCGATTCGTTGCCACTCCAAAGGCACCTTCTGAACCATTGCAACCATAGAAATTCCAGTGGAGTATATTCAGGCAGTGGGTTTATCAATGTATGATTAGGAGAGTGGGGCAGGGATGACGACAGGAAGAGAAGCAATTCTGAATGAGAAAGTGGGGGTGTTCCATATCCAAAATATGGGCATTTTTACCTGTGATATTGAGATAGGTAGTATGCAATGATTCTTCAACATCAACTTCATTGGACTGGTCGTGTTGTGCGGATGCCTGATTATCGTCTTCCAAAGCAACTACTCTATTCCGAACTTAAAAATGGAAAGCGTAATGCTGGTGGTTAACGAAAGACTGTCTCAAGGCAAATTTTAAAAATGTAATATAAACACCGACAACTGGGAAACGCATGCCTGTGAGCGCTCCAATTGGAGAACAGCCTTTACCAAAAGTGGGCTTTGAAGACACTCGAACTCAGGACGCAAGGGAGAAACATGCTAAGAGGAAGGCACGCTTGGCAAATCAACACTGTGATCAACTCCCACCCGGAAACCAATGTCCCCACTGTGGAAGGACATGCGGATCCAGAATTGGCCTCCACAGTCACTTATGGACTGATTGTTAAAACCGTGTTTATGGAAGACATTCTTACTTGGCTACGAGTGATCGCCAAAGAAGAAGACTTGAGAACAGATGTGGGCAGAAGGTAGATTGGGATTTGCTGTCAGCCCTCTGATCCAACAGGGCTCTCCTTATGCTCTCATGCGTTCCAAAGAACTCTGTGGGCTGGATCAAAAAGTGCCTTTCCGCTTGGGAAAGGTCCCTTTTGCTCACCGAAGGACTCCTGGATATTGCAAAGAGTTTTGCGTGGTACAGGCGAACCCCAACCCAAAGTTGCTTTTCCACTTGTGCAAGGAGAAGAATCACAAAAACCGCTATGGAGCAGCCACCCTGGTATTAAAGGTTGCGCAAGGCTTTCCAGGGTGTTTCTTTTTCATTGCCACTTCCTGTTATTTGGATCTGTGTGTGTGTTTTTAACAAAACCAAAGCGCTTCGTGTCGCACAAATGAAACACTTGTCCTGTCTCTGCCCACCAAATCTATTCGATGGTACCAGCTTCATCGTGCAACTGCCCCCATTCTGATGTTTTGGTAGCTGGTGACTTGGTTTTAAAAGGAAACACAATGCTAATTCCAAGGGGAATTCCCGTGAACCAGCTCATATTTGAATGATGCTACGAATCACTGTTTGAGAGAACTATCTGCTCACATTTCTTCTTAAATTCTTTCTGAAACTCCTAGTCATTGTGATGCGTTCCCCCTTCCCCTGCTGAAGTTTCCAAAAACTTTACTGAGGGCATGTACCTGATGGGAGCACCACAAACACCTATAAATAAAGGCTTATTTGAAATGTAAATATCCAGATGTCAGAAAAATGATAATAATAATTAATAATAATAATTAATACCCCAGTGTTGCAGTAAACAGTTATTACTTTGATAGTTATTTAATCCATCCAGAAATGATGCAGTTTTGTCTCAGGTGCAGGGAAATGACTGCATGGGGGTCTTAGGCTGACAACTGTGTCCAAATCAAAAATAAAAATCATTTTGCAACTTGTCATTCTGTTAGTGCCACCTAGTGGAAGCCTGCTTGGCTGCAAGGTCCTTAGATTAGTTGGCAGAACCTGATATTTAGGGATGTTTCCTGATGACAAATTCAGGAGTGTGTACCTGACAAAAGAGCTGAGGCCAGCCCAGGCTCCCTTTGTGCACGTAGCCATTTGATGCTTTTTAAAATATAGTAAGTGAAATATAGTAGGTAATTAAAAATATAGTCAGTGAAACGGCCTTAAGTCTTATTCAAATATTTTTCCTCGCGGTATGCAGGGTTACTGCAATTAAATACCCTGTGAGGAGATTGACGTAACCCCCACCCCTAACATTTAATTGAAATTAAATTGCACTGAGCCTTTTATGCATGCAATGCATATCCTTCTATGATGCAGGCCTGCTTTTGAATTGTGTTTTGAGGTATATGGTATCTTTACAGTAGAATGCCAGGAAGCTTTAATTCATTAAAGTCATAACTGATTAGTACAAAGAGCAGGTTCTCACTCTTTCTCGTTTTTGCTTCGTTTTAGGGGGTGCTCTCTGACATATCCAAAATGACCCGCCTCCATGGCTTTGACCCCGTGGTCCTTATCGTGTTTGTTGGCGGAGTAATGTTCATTCTGGGATTTGCTGGCTGTGTAGGAGCCCTGCGGGAGAACATCTGCCTCCTGAAATTCGTAAGTAATTGGATTGTTGGGTGTGTGTTTTGCTAGCCAGGAAGTGTCCCCATCAGTCAGGATTTGGGGTTCGTTTATTTCTATGTGCAATTCTTGTAGAACTAGGTCAAGTGAAAGCATCCTAATTACAGCCAGTAGGTTAATCAACACATTTTAGAAAATTTGTCAGTGAAGGACAGCATTACTTGGTGGGCAGTGAATTAAGGGATGTTTTGTTTTGTTGTTTCTGGGGTCTTAGTGTAGCGTAGTGAAAAACATTTCCTAACATTGAGTGTTAGAAGTCTTTAAACGGCTGTCTCCTATAATCTCAAGGATTCTATAAGAGTAGATACAATCATATTTTTTTTAAAAAAAAACACATTGAACCACCATTTATTTATTTTATTTACTCCTGGATGATCCCAGGGTGGCAGACACAGCCATCATAAAACATTTTAAAAGAACCTTAAAAACAGTTTAAAAACATTGTCAGCATGTGATCTCTCTGTTGCCAGGAACACTGTCTTTTAGCCATCAAATGCCTGGGCAAACAGGATTGTTTCTAAATTTCTCTTGAAAGTTAGCAACGAGGGAGACAAACTCTAATTCTGAGAACCACAGCCTCTCAGACTTACCAGTATTTGTTATTGAGATGTTAGAAAGAAGAAAAAAAAAGAAGGGGGGGAAAAGGAGAACTTCTGGGTGTATTTGCTGGAATACATTAACACTGCATGACCTCAAACCTAGAGGAGAGTACTAGCATCTCTTAACTTCCGTGAATGAGCATTCCATTCTCAAAATTCTGTAACTGCCACTTTCAGCATCATTTTGATCAGAGCAGCTTAAGAAGCCAGTAAGTTTTTGCTGTAAGAATTTAAAATTTCTGCTTTGCTAGCGACTGTTACCTATATTCAGATTCTCTCCTAGCTCAAATAAGCCCGATATGTGGGTTATCAAAAAGGGTTACCTCTGTTTTCAAATGCACCTATTCTGGACAGTCCAGTTTTCCCTGTCTTGTTTTTTCCTTGTTTCTTTGTCAAGTATTGTGAATCGCAGCACAGTGTTTTAGTACTTTTCACAGATTGCTACAAGCAAACAATGTGCAGTTATTTTGTGGGAAGTTTGTGTGTCTCTTCTAGTTGAGTTTTATCAGGCGTGATATTTGGTGAGCTCTAAATGGAAAGCTTTGTTGGCCTCCTTCAGTGATTTCTCAACTTTCAAGAGCCCTTTCTGTTTTGCATTACAGAGGGTTAAGGGGTGTATTCTAGGATACACATGGTGAACTTTCCAAATTTATATGATGTTATATGAATTAGGATATATATGTGTGTATATATATATATATATGTATATGTATATGTGTGTGTGTGTATTTATATATATACACACACACATACATATACATACACACTAAATCATATGTGTGTGATTATATAAATTTATATAATTTAGTTTATTATTATTATTATAATATCTATACCACTTTATATTTTTAAGGGGGGAAATCCCAAAGCAGTTTACAATACATTAAAACGTCAAATAAAACAACCCAGAGCAAAACATTATTGAAGAAAATCAAATAGAAAGTAATACATTCAAAGCCGCACAATAACCAGGAAACTAAAATATTACCTTAAAAGATTTCAAAATAAAAGAAGTTGTAGATAAACTGTCATTTTAAAACAGCTTAGTTAACAAAAGAATAAAATATTGCCATAAATATATAATATGTCTGCTGCTGTTGCTGCCCCTGGCAGTTCATGGCAGATGATGACTGTGGAAGCTCAGGCTCAGTGACCTGGGTCTGCACTAAGAGACATCTAAGATGGTTTCTGGCCCCTTCAGCAGCCTTGGCTTTTGTAGCTGGAGTCAGTCAGAGCCACACCCTCTCAGGCCGGGTGGGAAATGGCCTGAGAGGGTGAGGCCTGAGGTAGGGAGCAGGTCTTCCAGGACTCACAGCCGATATGGTTAATTAAGACAACTTTACAAAATCTGAGCTATAGGATAGCTCAGATCTAAGGCCTTGCGAGCAGATTTTTCAATACATTAGATTAAGACTGTCTACATGTTGAAACCAACCCCACCCCAAGTCCTGTGTATTAGAGAGGAAGATCAGTAGTGGTCTTTTGGTCATGATCACCGATTGTCTTCTTGAGGGATTTCAAGGTCCCCTGGAACATTGTTGGAGAACTACTGGCTTGCTTCTGTTTTGAGCAGAATCTCATTCTCCCACCACCTCCACTCCCTTCTTTGTTTTGCAGTTCTGTGGCACAATTGTGCTAATATTTGTCCTGGAGTTGGCAGCAGCTGTCCTGGCTTTCTTGTTCCAAGACTGGGTGAGGGACCGGGTGGAGACGTTTTTCAAGAACAACATTAAGTCTTACCGAGATGACATTGACCTGCAGAACCTCATTGATTCGTTGCAGAAAATGGTAAGTTGCTTTGAGAAATCTGCTTGGCCTTCTAATTGGGAAAACAGTAGTGAGTTAGGGTCTTTAAAAAGTTCTTGAGAAAGAAAATGAACTGCTTGTTAACCTGAACCATGTACAGTGGTACCTCGGGTTACAGACTCCGCTAACCCAGAAATATTACCTCAGGTTAAGAACTTTGCTTCAGGATGAGAACAGAAATCGTGCTCCGGTGTTGCGGCAGCAGCAGAAGGCCCCGTTAGCTAAAGTGGTGCTTCAGGTTAAGAACAGTTTCAGGTTCAGAACAGACCTTCCAGAACAAATTAAGTTCTTAACCCGAAGTACCACTGTATTGGATTCCCTGAAAATTTTTACCATGAAGGGTGAATGGAAGTTGTGATCTTCTAAAACAGGCTTCCTCAACCTCGGCCCTCCAGATGTTTTTGGCCTACAACTCCCATGATTCTTAGCTAGCAGGACCAGTGGTCAGGGATGGTGGGAATTGTAGTCTCAAAACATCTGGAAGGCCGAGGTTGAGGAAGCCTGTTTTAGAAGATTTGCCCTAATGTGTTGAATATGCAGAAACCAGTTTACATGGAAAAGGGGTATTCAGATATTTGACCACTTTTTTCTGCAGTCTTGAATTCAGCAACACATATCTCACATGAACATACTGATTGTACGCTTTATCTCTTGACATAAGACCTCTCTGTCCAGCAGCTGTGCCATCCCAATCAAATAAACAGAAACATAAAATGTGCTCATAGTTTAGTGACAATGGGAATGCTACGTAATTTCCCCCCAAACGCTTCTGTGTATGTTGTTCATAAAACAGGTGTGATAGTTGGGTTTGCCACCCTAGGGAGTGGCTGTACTAAATTTTTTAGAAAAACAAAAAACAGGACAGATCAATCTAGTTAAGTTTGCCAAAGTCCAATTTGTGATTTTGGTAGTTGCCATTCTTCATGATTATCAGTAAATTATTTTATAGCAGGATGCCGTATTTCAACAAAATCATCTACATCACCCATGTGATTCAATGCATGTAATCTCTTTGTTGATTTTTCTGATACAGGTACTAAATCCTTTGGTACATCCCTAGTCTAACAGAGTGATTTATCTATTGCAGAATAACTGTTGTGGTGCTCAGGAGCCGAACGACTGGAACCTTAACATATACTTCAACTGCAGTAGCACAAGCAAGAGCCGTGAGAGATGTGGCGTTCCTTTTTCCTGCTGCATCCAAGATCCTGCTGTGAGATATTTCCTGTCTTCTTAGTTCTGTATTAACACTGGTGCTCGGAAAAAGGAAGTGTTTCCTGAACTGAGCGCGTAAAATGTTGTCTAAAGTCTCGTATGCGTGCTGCTTTGCAAAGGACCCTTCATACTGATTTAAAATAAGAAATGCATTGAAATCTTGTCATGGTTGATAAGCTATATTGACACCCCTATTTTTCCTCTCTCTTCAGCAAAAGGTTGTTAACACGCAGTGTGGCTATGATGTAAGAAATCTGGTGAGTATGTTTGTTTCATATATCACTGCCCTACCTCCCACCCCCAGTTTTGCTTTCCCACAAGGGATTAGGAGCTAGGGCCACTGTGAAAGGAAGCATCAGGCAATTGAACTTGGTAAATTCTTGATGCAAGAAACTAGAATAGGAGGCAAGAAGGATCATGCCATATCAGTACCTTTCCAGAAGTGTGTTGGAAACCATAGTTGGCCAAGGCTAGTGTCTTCCCAATACAGTTGTACATTGGTTCTCAAACGGAATCCGTTCCGGAAGTCTGTTCGACTTCCAAAAACCAAGGCACGGCTTTCGATTGGCTGCAGGAGCTTCCTGGAAGCTGTGGAAGCTGCGTCGGATGTTCGGCTTCCAAAAAATGTTCACAAACCAGAACACTCACTTCTGGGTTGCGACGTTTGAATCACAAGGCGCTCAAGAACCAAGGTACGACTGTACTTCTTTGTTATATGCCCTTGGCATGTACTTGCAATCTGAAGGAGTTTCTGGTCTCCCAAGTCTCCATCCCAATGTGCTGTTACCAAACTGGAAATGACAATAAAATAACAGGACGGGGTTTTTTTTTGGTGCACTAATATGTTCAGTTCTTTCTTGCAATGTATGAGAGAGCAGGGGCTGCCTGTTTCTCCAAATTCCTTTCACTCCTATTAGGACTGGACAATAAATCAATATGTCGTCCAAATACAGTTTAAAGTCCATATCGTGATACTGGTTTTATAGTTTTTGACCTGGCAATATATTGTGAATCATGTTGTGTGTGTGTGTGTGTGCACGCGCTTTGTAGAAACTGCAATGTGGGAAAAACTGAAGCCAGCTTATGCCTCTACAAAGCTCCATCCTTATTTCAGACATTGTGGTGTATCTGTATATCACAGTGTTTGAGAGCTATACAAAGTAGCCTTGGACAAATTACACCCTTAGCTGTAAGATATCAGGTCAAATCAGCCTGGTGAGTCAAGATTGGCCCACAGGCCAGAGGTTGCTCACCCCTAGAGATGAAGGTCTCTTTTCTTTCTCCAGCAAACAGCATGACCCTGTCAAAGGTTGAAGGGGGTCTGAAAGTGTAAGTGGATTTTTAGCGTAATTTACAACGGATGCTACAAACACAGGGAATAATTTCCCAGTGGAAAATGTGATTATCCTGTAAAAAAAGAAGTGCAGAAGCGGAAACAACTATTGAAGTACTGGTGTCTGTTGGAAACTTTGTTATGGTTGAGTTTGAATAGCAAATTGGTTGACCAGACAAGGCAATATGATATTCATTAGTATGAAATCCTTTTCCTAAAAAGTTGTGGGAGGGGGGACTCCTTTGATGTTTGTCTTCCCTGCAAATGATGATAAATGTTGTGTTGAAAAGAAACAATTACGATGATGCCACAGCTAAGTGTAAATTTCTGTGGGCAGTACAACATTCCTCACAGACTTGAAGTGGGCTGCAACTTATGAATGCATAGTCAACTGTCATATGCACAAGGTCTTGTTTGGAGGCATTTATTTGTGGGTGTCTAGCAATTAATTTTCACATGTTACATTGGTCACGTTACATTAGACACAGGTCATATGTCAGAAAACATTTCTTCCACAGTTCCCAATAAACATTAAAAAAATTTGACGGATCCCCATATTAGCTCTTTATGAATATCGTAGCTGGTGGATTATATTCATTGATACTTTTAGATAAACCAATTCTCCAAGTCACAGATAAATTCCTGAGTTTACATCGGTCATATCTTTTAAAACACAATCAAAAGAAAGCATTTTTAAACTACCTGTGCCATACTTCTTTATTCTTTCTGTAGCCAAAAAGGTAAAGAGGTGGCTGAATAAGATTTTCATTGGTTATCTTTTACTGTTACAGTGAAGACAGCAAGAGAGCAAAAATAGCAGAATAGATTATGCAAAGTAAGAGATTTTGCCATTTGATATTGGTTGTAGAACCTAGCTTTTCTAGGTGCAGAATTTTAATTGGTCCTGCCCATAGCAAGGAGATTCCAGTTTTGTTGTCCTTGCTTTTCTTAAAAATAGAGGGAGTAACAAAAAGAAAATGCACATGAAATACTCTCTCTCTCTCTCTCTCTCTCTCTCTCTCTCTCTCTCCTGACTCCTCCTATTTTCTCTTTCTAGCCTGTATCCGCTTGGGGAGAACGAATTTACACCAGGGGCTGCATCCCTGCTCTGGAAGCTTGGTTGCCCCGGAATATTTACATCGTGGCAGGAATTTTTGTGGCAATTTCATTATTGCAGGTGAGTTCCTGTTGGCCTGTTGAAGCAGCAAATATTATTTCTTACCCAGTGATTAGATCTGTCTACTATTACAGTGTTTGGGTGATGAAGAATTGTTAGAGACAAATATTTGCGCAAAAGATACCATTTGGTGATCCCATGAATAGAGTTGCTAGCTTCAGATTTCAAAAATAGCGTCACTGGGAGTGGAACCTGAGTAGAATTTGGCAAGTCAGGGACCAGACCATAGCAGCACCTAGATTTTCATTGGCTTTCCAGATGCCTGATTGTTGCCTCCCTAACAGAAAAAGTTTTACTGGTTGGACCAGTAAAATCCAGGCTGGTTAGTAGCCTGAGTGTGTTGTTCTGTTCCTCATCCCCACCTGCCCGCCCCCTTAGATCAAGGAAATTGCCATATGGTTTGGTTTGAGTGTTGTTCTCTTCCCTGCGCCATATCCTTGTGGGGCTGTTAATGGTCTTCTAAAGGAAAATAGAGGAATGAACATGTTGTGTTGACTGAGCAGTTATGCTCACAAATCTCAGTCTTGCAAAGCAATTGTAATAGTTTTCCAACTTGAAATGTGGGCAGTGCTTTTCAATGGAAGAAAGCAGCACAAACCTCATTGGTTCCAAACCAGTTAAAGGCCTCATCTGTTTTTCCAGGACTAAATAGTTCTGCGATATCCCAGCACTGTTGACGAGGACTTCAGTTATTTCCAGGCTAGTTTGAAACAGGCTAGCAAAAGAGCCAGAATTTGCACTGTTTTGTTATTTTCATAAAGAGCACCAGACTGCTAAAACATTTTCTTTCTTATAAATAGTGCTTGTTTTGTCTGTCTTTTCTTCTTTGTTAGATATTTGGGATTTTCCTGGCCAGGACACTGATTTGTGACATTGAAGCTGTGAAGGCAGGCTACCATTTCTGAAGACAAGACAAGAGATCATCTGTAAAGACAAATCAGTTCTCTCCCCACCCCCTGCTATTGCTGTGAGCACAAGGAGAAAAAGGAACAAAACCGGAGATCTAGAAAAGTCTTGATACAACTAGAGCGTAAAGCCATAATATATCACTTAAACAACAACAAGAAAAAACATAGTTGGATGCTACCCTACTTCAGGCTGGAGTTGAAGAACCTTCTCCTCTTCTCACCTGGCTAATGAATAGTTTTACAATGCTGATCTCTCGGAAAGAAGATTTATCTTCATCCTTCTGTACACATATGTGAAATTGCGGTAGGCACCAGTGGACCGTTCTAGATGCTCCTACCCGAAAGCTGCTACTGTCTAAGGACTGTTGCCTTAGTTTTCCTTTTACAGTAGTTCCTTAGAGGTTAGAATTGTTACATTCCAAAAGTTGGTCAGTGCCTAGAATAACGCCCCACGATGCCAAATGATCACATTTTTGGGCGGGGTTGGGGAAGATACATGAAATGCCTTTAAATATGGAAAACTTGTTCAGGGAATGTTGTGCCTGTTGAGAGATTGAAGCATGCACTGTGTGAGCGTTTTAAATGAGAGCCATGTTTGTACAGTGTTGCCTGGGGGTTTTAAAAAAAAGGGGGGGGGGATGTCGTGTGCCGGGATCAACAGTACAGAAGGGAGGGATTTCCTCTTATTCAGGCCAGATCTTATGTGTCCATTTTTGATGCTAGAGATCTGAAGAGAACACTGGAGATACTTCAAAAGGACTTGCCTTACCTACCAGGATTTGTAAAGTAAAAGTCAATTGTACGTTCAACAGCATCAGACCACAGGCCTCCTTTGGAAAGGTCAAGGCTGATTTCTCGCGCCACGTCTCCTTCTTAATATGGCGTTATTTATAGACATTTGAACAAGGAAATGTGTCCGCATACAGTTTTGCTAACGTTACTTCATATAGTAGTAGTTCGTAAAGCCATTTATCCGTTGGACTGAAGTTTCTCGTTTTGCTAGATACCAGGAGCCATACCTCTTTGGACCACATTTCTATCTTTTTTTGTGGCAGTGAAAAATGCATATGCTAACGTCTCCTAGGTATGTGTAAATAATTGGATGTATTGGATGTTCAGGGGTATTTGAATCATGCAAAGCTGTTTAAAAGTGTGCACTGGTCATTTCCACTTCATGTACGGCAAATAGATGCTCTTACGCTTGTCAGGTTGTGGCCCGTATCAGAGCAAGGTCCCACGACCAGCCTGCACACAGCTTGTGACTCACCAAGCTGAAAAGAGCCCATCAGCCAGATAGGGATGCTGAACTGATAACACAGTGCTTTGATTTAAACAGGTGAGTTGCTAGAGAAGCTGCTGTAAGTTGCTTTCTACAGCTGATGGGCTGCATTCTGCTTGGTGGAGCATAAGCCTACTCTAGAGCCTGCCATAAAGAGGTGGTTTGTCACCGAGAATGAAAAAGTGTTAATTTCTCTTTTCAGGATTTTGGCCTCATGGGCTTTCTTTTATGCAAGCTGTTTTAATATGACCCTCGTTGAAATGGATGGCATGTGCCTTTAGAGTTTTCAACCATCCTTCACAGCCATTCCACATAAATGCCTGTGTAGAACACAGTTCCGAACAGTGAAGTCAGCGATGTGTTTTTTTGGGGACGCCCTAGAAAACTCTTGTTTGGATTCTTCCTGACAAAGGACTGAACTTTGGTTGAACTGCTTCTGAGGTTGCCTGATTATTTTTCTTCAGGGACTGCAGACTTGTCTACACTGCCTAACACACTTTTATAAAGTCTGTATTTGTGTAATTTTTGTAAGATTCTCTTTTTTTTACTGCATGTAGAATAAGCAGCAGCAACAAAAAGCAAACTCTGTGTGTGATTCCTTCATTTAAAGTGGAACATTCCTCTGGCAGAAACATCAGGCAGCACCCGGTTTGTGCAGGGGTTGCATTCTGGATCATCTTGCACGATGGCGGAGCCTGCCCTACCCCCTTTGCACCCCATTATATCTGCTATTCCTGCTACTTCTGGGTTTACAGCGATGCTCATGTGCATGATCGCACACAAAGTGGTCGTGGCCTGTATTTGTTTTTTAAAAAAGACCTGAATTTTAAACAACCATTATCTTGAAAATATATGAGCCCATTTTCATGGACTAACCAAGCTAATGTGCAGAGATCGAAAACTGCCCTTAGTACAGTGGTACTTGGTTCTCAAACTTAATCCGGTCTGCCAGTCTGTTCCAAAACCAAAGCATTCCAAAACCAAGGTACTCTTTCCCATAGAAAGTAATGCAAAACGGATTAATCTGTTCCAGACTTTTTAAAACAACCCCTGAAACAGCACTTTAACATGAATTTTACTATCTATCGAGACCACTGATCCATAAAATGAAAGCAATAATCAATGTACTGTACTATAAAATAAACAAGACAGTATTGTAGATGATAAAAATAAAAATTTCTTTTTTTTCTTAGCTGCACTGATAATATTCACTGTTGGGGGCTTTTATCCATTTCCGCAGCCACACAATCAATCAATCAATCAGTAGCTGAGATGGGTTCCACAAAAGATGGGTTCACAAAAACAAATTAACCGAAAAAGCCTCAAAAACAAAAATGCAAAATAAATAGCAAAAACAAAAGCACTAAACTTAATTCGTCCCAGAAGCCTGTTTGATTTCCAAAATTTTTGAAAACCAAGGCACAGCTTCTGATTGGTGCAGGTGCCCTGGAAACAATAGCCAACAGCCGCATTAGGCGTTCAGCTTCCAAAAATAATTTGAAAACTGGAACACACTTCTGAGTTTTCGGCGTTTGGGAACCGAGGCATTTGAGAACCAAGGTACCACTGTAATTTGCTAACACGGAGAAAAGCTGTTTTTACAAGATGATGGGATGCAAAACCATCTTACAAATTGTGCTTCCTGGATATTTTTGGTTCTCTGAAAGAGAGATGGTGACTGAAGGTGTTTCTACCTTTGTGATCCAGCAGTAGGACCTCCTCAGGCATGTGTAAAGGCTTTTCTGTGATAGCTCAGATAACAAACCCTTTCCAGAGAGTGCTGATGAGCCTCTCTGCTTTATGTTTACTATACTCTCTTCCTGTAGCTGGGAAAAATGACTACGTGCTGATTTTGTTTTTAGGAAACAGTAGGATCCCTGCTTTCTGATTTACGTTCTTATGCTGGACTCTTTTTCAGTTTGCCCCAGGTAATAAACTCATACCGGTGAACTCTGCATAACTTAAACCCCTACAGCAATCCATTTGGTGGCATGAAGTTTGAACAAAGGATGCAGGAGACTTGCAAATGATAATGCTTATAAGTCATATAGAGGAAAACCTCCTTGTCTCCAGCTAGCAAAGAAGAAGCTATAATAGCCTGTGAGAGTTAAAGAGCCAGCAGGCAAATTCCTTGACTGATGAATATCAAGTAGCGCTGTGGATTTAGCAGCCAAAAAGACCTCCCCCTGGCACGTTTTTTGCATGCTGGAAGGCATATCGGGACACAATCCCTAGGAAGCTTTTCCTAAACAAATTGCATTGTGCTGAATGAGAGTTGCGCAGGAAAGATTTTTAATGGGTTGTGCATGTGCACACAAATGGCCTGTTTTCTCTCTTTTCAAGCTTGTCATCTCAAAGGTGCAACAGTAGCGATTATACAAATTTCTGATTAGGAGAACACCCCCCCCCCAGTTTAGAGGCAAACCTCAAACAAAAAGAATGTTTTTAAAAGTATCCTGCAGCTACATCTGCTCAGAGAAGCCAAGTATAGGAGTACCTTGGTTCTCAAATTTAATCCATTTGACTCCCGAAACGGTTCGAAAACCAAGGCGCATGGCTTCTGATTGGCTGCAGGGGCTTCCTGCACTCAATCGGAAGCCACGGTGGACATTCGGCTTCTGAAAAATGTTTGCAAACCTGAACACTCACTTCTGGCATTCGGGAGCTAAGCCATTCAACTGCCAAGGTACCACTGTACTCTTCCAGAGTCATTTGTCTGCACATACCCCCTGGTGGGAAGACGATGGGCTGGCCATGTGCCTTACTTTACGAAGGACCCTTCTCTAGCTGAAGTCTAGTTTAAAGTTGAAGAATCACGAGATGGGAGATCGGGGCATTGATGTTGCCCATCAGCGTTGTGTAGAATAAGCAGCAGCAACAAAACGCAAACACAGTGTGTGCACGTGTGACTCATTCATTTAAAGCGGAATAGTCCTCTGGCAGAAACATCTGGCAACCCCCAATGTGTCCAGGGGTTGCGTTCTGGGTCATCTTGCGCGGCAGCAGAGCGCATATATGCCTGCCTGCCCTTCCCCCTTTGAACCCTGTTACTTCCTGCCACTTCTAGGTTTACAGCAATGCTCATGTGCATGATTGCACACAAAGTGGCTCTTCCTAGGTCTTATCAAACATAGTTCTGCCCCTGCCCATAAGGCTATTAGATTTGACAAAGTTAGCAACCCTAGACCGCTTACAGGAAGGAAAACAGAATCTGATCAAATGCTGTAGGGCAGTGTTTCCCAACCGGTGTTCCGCGGCACACTAGTGTGCCGCGAGACGTTGCCTGGTGTGCCGCGAGATGTTGCCTGGAGGGAGGCGGGCGAGTCGGGCGGCGAGAGGCGGGGCGACGACGGCGAGGAGAGGCCGCCCAGCGCGGGGCTCTCGCCGTCTGCCTGCCTGGCTGCCTGCGTGGCGCTGATGTCACGGGGCTGTAACGTGCCCCACATAGGCACACGCGGGGCGGCGAGCGAGCGAGCTCCCACATCCCATCGCCGCTCGCTTCGGCCGGCCTACTGGGCTGTCGCAGGCGGAAGGCCTGCGCATGCGCGAGGTTTTCGCGCCTTCGGGATTCCCTTCACGCCTTCCTCCTCCCGGGTCCTTGAGAGCGCAGGAAGCGGCAGCGCGAGACCGGCGTTGAGCCTGGTAGGTATTGCGCTTGCCAAGGCAGTCATTTGGGAAATGAAAACTTGCAAAGCAAGCAACCAGTTCAATCTGAAGTACGTGTATGCTTAATATCCTGTATCTGAAACCTGTTCTGCCCCCTCCCCCACACTTGGTGCCATTTTCATCTACACATGCAGCAGAGTAAGTTGACCCAGAATAGTACCAATTCAGATGGCAGATGGGAGAATGACAGTGCTGAATGCTTTCCCATGTAGAACAGTCCCTGCAAATAAAAACCTAGCATATTTGGAAGAGGGATGCTAGCCTAACCATTACCTTCTATGCTGTTACTATTTTTTTATTTTTTTTTACATAAGTAAAAAGTGACCTTTCCCCATCTGGCATGGTGGTGTGCCTCGAGATTTTTTTCATGAAACAAGTGTGCCTTTGCCCAAAAAAGGTTGGGAAACACTGCTGTAGGGAGATGATAGGGCTGATACAATATGATAGCTAACTGTTTGTTGTCATCATATTTTTCGGCTTTATTTTACTGATGAAGCCTTGAGTAAACACGCACAAAGCCAGAATGGCCTTTATGTTACAGACTAGCATGTCTGGGGAAAGTAGGCAGGAACCGAACTTCCAAACGCTCAAAGATGCAATTCCTCCATTAATATATTCTGAAGTTCTATAGTGTTTGCCAGGGGCCTGTACATGTGCTTCCCCCATGATGGATGGATATTGTATTTGCACATGATGAGAGGGCGATCTGTGATAACCATTCCACAGTTAAACAAGTGAGTTTAATGGAGTCATTTCTGCTGGAATGCAAGGGAGAATAGGATTTAATCAGGATTTAGTGTTTTGGGGTGATGATGTTGTGGACTTGGAAAGAGGCTTGTGTGAATATAATTTGCCTTAACATCCTATTCAAAAAACCCCATCACCCAAGGCCCTTCAATATAATTTTTTTTTAAAACAACACACCAGCTCTAGCAATATTTTGCTTGGATGCTTGGACACAAGAGATCAAACCTGATGTAGTGCTTGTTAGCCAAGGCAGTACTAAACCGCAGTAGCACGTTTTGTGCACTAAGTAGATATCCTTCCACATTTATGGTTCAAAGAGGCGGTGCTCCTCATTCAGTATCTGAACAGCCATTAGCGCCTGTTTGGCTACATTACCATTGATGTGGCCACAGAGCTTCTCAAGGGTTTCTTTCATCTTGTCCTCTTCAGCCTCTTTCCGAAGGTCACCTGAAGGAGATCAAACATTTTAGCGGAATAGCTTGCAAAAGTAAAGGCTGAGCAAGCAAGCAGGGTAGTATATAATAGCTTCACCTTGCAATTTGGCTTCCTTGATTATGAAACAACAGCGACTCTAATGCACTGGATGCAATCCTGACAGTGGCTCAGGCCTCCTCCCCGCCCCCCGTGTTTCTTTGTGTGGGGTGAGGCAATATTTAAAGTAATATTCTGAGAGAATGCAAGTAGCTGCTTCTAGTGGGGAACAGCAAATTTTTGCCAGTTCTTTGTTTTTCCTTTATTTTGGGAGGGAGTTTCAGGCATACCTACATTATTGCATGGCTAGTGTAAAGCATTCCCTCAACTAAGACTTTGTCTCAGTTGTCTGTTATTTTTAAACGGAGGTGAGGGGAATTACTCTGTCTTTCCAACATAGTCCTACTTTAGCTGCCCCCCCATTGTTCATTTCAGATCATACGAAGTTTCTATTTTTGCTTGTTAATATCAATGTTACTCCAACGTCCTTTCCCCACTTGTAAGTATATTTTTATCTTATATTTCCAGAAAGGGTTGCCGAATCATAAACAAACCCTGGGCTTCTCTCTCCCCAACCGACTCAATTCAAAACTGATCCATGTAGCTGGTATATTCTGAAGTATGTTGTTGCAACCCTTTCCCACCAAAGCCAATTAAAGATGCAATTAAACGGCTAACCTCTGCTTCGTAATGGTGACG